CTATAAGGTCATATCAGGCACACAGCAGCTCCACCCACCTGCTGTTTAAATCTTCTGTTTGAGAGGGGCAGCCAATCAGAAGAAAGCCGTTTTAACACTTTCCCCAATAAAGACGACATCTGACCAACCTCTCCTGTCCCTTGATGACAAGCTTTGACACCTTAGCATACACATCTATAAAGACGTGTCTGATCACCACTAGAACGATTTCCAGGTGGCTGCACAGGCAGAACACCCTCACTGACCTCTTGATGCAAACCCAGTCATTCTGTTCTATGGCAGAAACCACTCAGTTTGGACAAGAGTGTCAAGGGTCACTCCTAGCAGGCTTTGATGGTGTCTTGTTTCCAACAGAGGACAAACAGAGGAGCTGCACCAATACCAGGAATAAGACAACTAAGGATTATAGGAATCATGCAAAGCTCTCCTAGCAGTGCTGAAGAATAAAAATATGATGCTAAACAAGAAAAACTAAAAGGTCTACTTTAAACATGCTCCCTATATGCACAGAAGCCCCGCCCACCTGCAGTCACAAACCTTCTGTTTGTGAGGGCAGCCAATCATGAGAAAGCTGGTTTAAAGGAAGAGAGGAGGGGCTGCAGTAAGGCCTAGGATAACATGAATAACAATGATTCATGCAAAGCTGCTCTAGTAACAAAAATATGAAGCACAGCAGGGTCCCTTTAGATAATATGATTAAAATAGTCAAATTCAGCCCACTCTGGATGGAGTCTATTTTTGACACATGGCCTTGTAAATGAGGGGACAGGGAGGCTGCAGAGCCTGTGATGGTTCATCTGGATTGTTCTGTTGTTAAAAAGCAACATTTTGCAGAAAGTAAATGATCTCGTAGTGTGCCTCCAAATTACAAGCCTTCAGCTGTGAGCGCTGGCAGGCAGCCCCAGCCAAGGACCAGGCTTCAGCTCCCAGCAAGGCTGCAGTGAATGGAGAGCCGTCAGAGCCTTTCTTCTCGCCGTTTCCTGCTCCTTCTGACACTGTGCATCCGTTTGCACGATGCGCCACTCACCACCTATTCAGCCAAATGAGCAGCAGCTCCATTTTGCATTGCATAACAAGCAGAAAGCTGTGGTGGTGGTGCAGCAGCAGCAGCCGCCGCTCGGAGAGCCTGAAAAGATGACGAAATGCGAAGCAGCAGCATCACACTAGCAGCTTAGCACGCCAGGCTAAACTCGCCCCCAGCCTCACCTTCTTGATGTTGGTGTACGTGTAGAAATACAGCTCCCTGCCGATGTTGAAGCACACCCGCTCCGACTCCTCGCTCGGGTCTTCGGGCTGCAGCTTCACCATGGAGACCCGGACCGGCGGCAGGAAGCCAGCCGGGGAGGAGTTGGCTGCGGCATTGGAGGAGGAAGAGGCGGCAGCGGCGGCGGCTGCAGCCCCGGGCCCCTGCAGCAGCCCGACCCCTCCGCCGGGTATCGGACCCGGTCCGGCCCCGGGCCCCAGCGTGGTACCGGCGGACGGCCCCCGCGGCAGCCGCCCGCTGCAGCGAGTCTGAGAGGGTGAGCAGCTTGTAGAAGCCCTCTCTTGGTCCGGAACTGGGATTATCTATTGATATCTTCAGAGCGCGCCATCTCCGGCATTTTAGTACAAACACGCCGCACAGGAACGGAGATTCTGACCTGGAAACAAAAACGCGCTAATCACAAGTCTAGGAGAGTGCGTGAGAGGCGAACATGAGGCGAGCAGCCGAGCTCAGCAAGGCGACCCGCACAGCCGTCGCCCCGCTGCATTTTACACCGGCACCCACTGCTGCTAAATAAACCCCCGGAGACAGCCCACCGAGCGGTGTTAGCATCCTCCTCCGCCGGTCTCTGCCTGCCTTCATCCAGCGTGCGTAAAGTACGTGTGACGGTGCGTCAGCTGCTGCTGCTGCTGCTGCTGCGGCCCGCTGGCACTGCGCACTCCCACTGTGGTCGGGGGGCAAAGAGAGGACATCAGCCCGTCAGCCTCAGTCAACCACCCCACCCCAACACTTACAACCAGTGGACCGGCCAGGACACGGGCGTTTCCAAGATTTTTGTGGGCAGAGGGGCGAGAATAAGGGGGCGCACTGGAATCTGAGTATTTGATCAGAATAAAATTCAGACTTATGGTGCTGACAGGTGTGTTACATGAAAAGTAGCATGCTACTTAAAATTATATTTAAAAGTGGTGAAACATCAGATTATCCACTGGTCTTCTGGGTAGGGGGCCAGTGCACGGCTGAGTGCCCATCCAAGACACAGCAAAAGAGGGAAATCATTGAATTTAATTACATATTTTAAATTCTTGCCCTTTAAACCACACATACAATACAGTAAACTTTCTGTGTTACACCTGCCGTTTCTCCGATATGCTGCTGAAGGTGTCCACCAAACTCAGCTCAGTATTCAACGTGAATGAAACAAGCACAAGATGGTTTAGCAAATAAAGTATGTCCCGTATGCTTCCTTTAGTTATTCCAAAAGAGCCTGACCGTCAAATCAAGTTGGCTTGGGCCCATCAACCGTTTGTGGCCAGACGTTGTAAGAATGGGTGAAAGATGTATCAGCACTTCATATGAAATCATAATCCTGCTGAAGTAACCGTACAAAGGTTTCAGCACAAGCATACTGAGAGCAATAAATAAATAAAAGTACCCATTATGCAGAATCATGGCTGTGTGAGGTGGAGATGATTGGTTCACCACAAATATTGCTTGTTGCTAGTAATGAAGAAAGAAAGGCATTCATTGCATAGTATATTCCAGCATTTACTCTGAATAATTCTTTATTCTAATGTTTTTACTGTTAGAAACTCTTTGGTGGCTTCAGATAACGGTTTTGTTTTTTGTTTTTTCAAAACATGCTGTTAAGCCCATTCCTACCCTGTCATCTTCAACTTTAACTGCAATTTTTGTATAAAATAACGATGCTTTTGTGTTGTTTAGCTTTGACTACACACAGACACAGGGTGGGACAAGCCTGCCCAGATATCTAAGAATTCACATCATAACATATAATTAGCACATGATCTTGTAATCATATTTCACTGCAGACTGAACAAGTTTATGCCATGAAATTCAAATTCCATGTTTGGCTGTGATCAAGTATCTTAAGTGTTTTCCTGGAATGAGCCAATGTTTGACGGTGACGTGTGACGCTCCTCCTCAGTGAATAAAGGACCTCAAGAGTTTTTCTGAAGCACCTTTAAATTCAGCAGAGAATAACTCCGGCGTCTTTTTAGGAAAAGATTAGTGCCAGCAGAGAGGCTTCATTAGAAGTGCCGAAACCTGACGCTGTCGCTGCTCACACTGAGCTGCTGAAATTACAAAGAAATTACAGATCAGAATAAATTAATTAAAATGAAGGATTTGTTATGCACAAATCCAGTGGCCTGAAATGAAGATGCTATAGAAGTGACAGTGTGTTTGCTGTAATCTATAAATATACATTCATTACACCATCACTGTGTTCTCCATCCACGCTTAACTGGACTCAGTTTGATAGATTTCTGAAAAATAAATATAATCTGTGCCGGACTAATGGCTTGAGCTTCTTCATAAGGCAGCGAGGAACAAATTGAAATAATTACGGCTGTAGGGCTTTGAAATATCCACATGAAGCAGGGACACCGGAGACAGCATGTAGAGGATGTATTTGTTCCTCCAATAAAAAACGAAAGAATTGGAGGAATTATGAAGGAAAACTGCTGTAAATCATCGGCGTCTGTTTATAACTCCTAATTCTGAATCAGAATTATGAATTCAAACTAAAACGTTATCGTGCCTGAGCACCATGGATTTGTGCTCTCAGTCAGCACCTCCTCCTCTGGCTCTGTGTGCACACAGGAGAAGGCTTCTTAACGATCTGAAGCCATGAGCAGTGTAGTCGAGTACTTTTCATTAACAGCCTATATTACTCATATGCTTTGAGTGTTTTATGCCATATGTTCATATAGATCGTGTTTAAAAGTTTGGGGGCATCCGGGGATATTGTTCCTTGCAGAAATACAACGTGCTTAAGAGACTTAAGAGGGTGATAAAAGGGAATTTTCTTAAAGAGGATAAATTACGCTGATGCATCCACAGCTTCCCCGTGTTTATGTGAAGACTCGTGCTGCAGTCAGTAGCCCAGATAAATGTTCTCCAGAAGAAACATGTAGATGTGCATATGTGTGTGCCGACTCAGCAGGAACAGGATGAGAATGTTCAGATTGTACGCTCACCTCTCACCCTATGATAGCTGGATAGGCTTCGGCCCCTAACGCACCTCAATAGATAAGAGGTTAAGGAAGTGGAAGGAGGGATAATTATTTGAAAGCATATCGAATGCCTGGGAGCCTAACTGCATTACTTTCCAGACGTTTCTACCATAAACTGAGAGAAAAGGTAGCGATAGATGCTGCAAATAAGCAAAAGCGTCCCGTCAGTGCTGAAACAAACCCACGATTCTGCCTTAGAATCACAGGCACAATGACGGTGATACACAGAACAGAAATCTCTGCAGTTAAAGATGCCGTGGCCTCCGTCAACACATCCGCCCAACACCCGCCTCCAAATCAACAAAGCTTTCCATGTTGTGTTAACTCATTTTATTACACTGTAACGGCAGTAAAAGTGTGACATACAGGCTCAAGTCACTAAACACACAGCGCGAGCAGCAGCAGTGCTTTCAGCTTGTTTGTGGCGTCTTCAGGAGGCCCCGTGTGTCAGTCCCCTCAGGCAGCTGCTGCTGCTCTGATCAACAATACGGTGGCAGAACAAAGGATGCCCCCTCCTCTTTAGTGTTAGAGGAGGTCCTTCCTTCCTTCAGGGTTTTCTCAGCTGTCTGGATGCTCTGGTTTGTTCTGGATCGCACAAACCAAAGTTGAAAATGGCATAAATAAGAGCAAACTCCCCGAGGTTGAGGGATAAAGGCTACAACACAGAATCTTCTTAGGTCAGAATGAACTTTCAGCATCATGGCATCACCTGTTTCTGACAGATTACCTCTCCTTTGGTTAGAAATTAAATACTGGGGCAGTGAGGCGTCTATACGCATCGAACTTAACGATGACAGATCCAAATGTCGAAGCCCAATGTGTCTTTTCTCTCTTGTATTAAGTCCCAGTAGAAGCAGGGTGTGGGAGAGTCAGGCCAGCATGACGTAGTTCTCGGCGATCTCCAGGACGTAGAGGTTGGAAAGCCCCGACGGGTCCTCGCTCTGATGAGTTTCTAAAAGGACCATCCTGCGGCGAAAAGGTCACGTGTCAAACACTGATCAGCACAAAAAAAACACAAGTTCTATTAATAAGACCTGAACTACCATTTGAGAAGATAAACATCAGGAAAGTGTTTACTGATTAATTACAAATTAAATTAGCAGCAGCTTCAACACACTCAGACTCACACCTGCTGGCCAATAAGCAGAATGCATGCTTTAATTTATAAAGTACTTATTGTAGGTAACTGCGTTTATAATACTTTAAACCTTTCAAACTGAATGAAAGCAAGTTAAATCAACAGGATGGGACTTGAACTCCAAAACATCCATGTACGCACACGTCAACTGAAGTTCAGTTAAAATAGGTCCAGGCAGTACTTTCTTGTTATGCTCATTTGTACCACATGGTGGCTGTGAGTCAGTGTAGAATCCAGTCTGCCCTGAGCTGTGCCTTTAGGGTGCATCCATCCTTTATGTACAGTCTAGACTGCAGGTGCTTTTTTTATCCACAGAAAATTCAAAGCGAGGACGTGCTGTACCTGTCGGACTGCACGAGTCTGTGGGTCTTCCTGTGGTCCGTGATTTCCTCCAGCATTTCCGTGAAACCTTTTCCTCTCCTCAACCAGCCGTGACGCCACACTGCCAACAGCGTGTCATCAAAATACACTGTACAGACAAACAAGAGTCAGTGCTGAGCCTTCAGCGTCTCCGAAATTCACCATAACCAGGGTCTCACTCCTTCCTCTCACCTATAGATTCAACATCTTGAGAGAAGATGGTCTCAGAGTGCTGCGTTCTGCCGCTCTTAAACTCCCCATCAAGACAACTATTTGTACCGACCCTGTGGAGGAGAGAGGGCAGTGTTTGTGTTAGAATATCTCTGTGGAAATATGAAGGTAGACAGCATTATGGTGCTCAAATCATAACGAGGAGTTAAAATAGTCCTTAGGCAACATAATAAATATCTGGAGCTGTTTTCAGGTTAGTCAGACTGAAAGTAACTCAGAAAGGCTCAAAATTTCTTTGTATCTGAGCTTTTAAGACAAATAAATTATCAGTATGTCAGAATCAACACGGCACCATAACATCATTATAGCAGTGCTCTCCTTAAGAAGCGGACAGGTTAATATGAAAGACAACCACTCAAAACTGGCTCCAAGGCGAATTATCTGCCATGTTGGTCGCTTTAACAAAATGAACAAGTTGCAATCCAGCTGTGTCAGTTTGCACAGATGGGAGCATCTTTATTCAACGTGCTGTATCTGGTTATAATCCCATTGAAATGAAGGTTGCAGAGAGCCTTCGTCATTCTGTATCTGATTTACAACAGATTTGTGATTTTGTTTGATTTGATTGATGCTGCTTATTACAGTTATATATTCCATATTACAGATGTGATTTAAATGCCAACCTGATCCCATTCAATCACAAACCAATCACAGACTGTTTGCTGGTTATTTGCCCTTTCATTGGCATCTTGATGCACCGAAGTCACTTTGAATACAGGGAGTAGTCACAGTGATGGCACCCGACCCAAGTAAACATTTCAAACCCGACAAGATTACACGTGCACTACACACAGGGACAGTAACTTTGATCGTGCTGGTTTAATAAACACCCACATGGCAGCAGTCAGAACTGTAAGAATGAAGTTTTAAAGTGTGGAATTCAAATTCAACAAACGCAGGCCTCTTTCTGAAGACAACAAAGTTTAGTGTGATACTTACTTTCCAAGAGGACGAGCAGCGAGTTATTGTCCAGCTGGTTTACTTGGACTACTTCTGGACATGGTCTCTCTGTAAGAGCAAACACCGCCACCATTAACAACAACAAACAACAACAACAACAGCACGACTTCATGATAAACACTGATGTGTTTCTGATAACGAGCCGTCAGCTTACCCAGACCCGTGTTGGTGAACCAGGACGTGTTGGAGTTGAGGTTAATGTATTCTACATAGACCGGATGGCTGGGGCTGGAGCCGCGAGAAACACCGATACACACCATCGGGTACTCCTGCTGGGGCACCACCACCATCTCAAACACCCGCAGAGGGCTGGGCAGAGGGAAGTCGAAATGCTACAAGCATGAAAGAGAAAAAAAAAATCAGGAGTTTAACATCTGTTCGCTTCTCGGCTGAAGGAGCGGCTAACAAAGCAGATCGTTACGGTGTTTTGTTCGAGGACTTATAACCTGCAGGCTTTCAGCACACAGAAGGAGTAACCGAGGACACCTGAGTCTGTTCTCCAAACCATAACAATTTTATGGTTAGAGGCCTCAGCTCTAACTCATAAATTTAATGGAGACAATAAAAAAGCTTGTGTGACCGCCGGCAGTCATTTTATAAGCTGCTGTCAATGTTAACAGCCCACTAAAAAAATAAAATCAAAACAGAAACACGTTTAATAAAAGCAGCATGACTGTGGCACCCTTTCAGGTACATCTCAGATCATCACATAATCTTTCTTGTGTTTTGTCGTGTCAATAGATTTCGGCGTTAACGGGTTTCCCATCTCAGCAGGTTTACAGTTATTCACTGCAGGTTCGGGGAATTTATGTGGCTGAAACCTACTTTCTGTGTCACTGCTTGAATTATTTCATACTAAAATGCTTCTTTACATCCTGTGCATGTTACACTAACTGAACATAACTGGAGACAATAAATAAATCAAATAAAACCAACTAGAAGCTACATCAGGAGGTGTTTAAGGGTCCTAATGCTTACAATTTGTGCATCAAGCATTAAAATTTCAGCACCAATAGCATCTATGCATGATGGGGAAAAAGTATAATGCAGTAGCAGCTTGTTTAACTTTGTGCTGGATGCCAACGCTGTAAAAGTCAAGTTTCTGTCACTGATTTTGCTCTTCTGAGAAGTGAAAACAGAAAGGACAGGATGCTTTCCTTAGTAATTCACATTTGACACACGTACCTTAATCAGCATGAACTTGTGCATGGGCTCGTACCACTGCAGCAGCACCACACTGGACTCCAAAGCACAGCACAGGAAGGCACAGCCTCGCTGCATGTTCCCTGCTGCGAGAGGCAGAAACAAACAACAGATCAGCCGGTTTTCACTCAGAACTGATCACCATAAACATGCACAGGAATCTGCATCCTTTATTTTTATTATTAATATTTTAAACCTCATCAAACAGTTAAGATGACACATTACAGGGAAAACACGTTTTAATCTCATGCACTGGTCAGTTTTAGGATTATGGTCAACAACAACACTCATGTAGACGCCCAAAGTACACCAAGACGATACCCACACGTTACACTTCCACCCTGAAATGTTTATACAAGACAAGATGGATCCACGCTTTCACGTCTGTAACACCAAGTCGATTATTTTAGCAAAAACAAAACTTATCAGGTCACGCAACATGTCCTGTGTGAATTTTAGCCTCAGTTTCCTGTTCTTAGCTGACAGGATTAGCAACGGTGTGGTCTTCTGCTGCTTCAGAGATGCTCTCCTGCATGCCCTGACTGTCACAAGTATGATCATTCTCCTCTGATCTCTGGCATCATGTGGCATTTTCTCCCATTGAACTGCTGCCAACATATCTTCTGTTGTTTTGGACTGCACTCTGTGAACTTTAGAGATGGCTGCGTGGGAAAATCCCAGCAGATCGGCAGTTTCTGAAACACTCAGACCAATCTGTCTGTCACCAGCAACCACACTGCCTTTAAAGTCACTTAAACCACCTTTCTTCCCCCTTGTGACGCTCAGTTTGAACTTCAGCTGGTTTTCTTGACCATGTCTACATGCCTCAATGCAATGAATTGTGACTGAATAGATAGTTTTATGAATCAGAAGCTGAACAGGCCTACCTAACACAGTGACCGAAGAGTTCAGATTAGCATTTCTAATGAGATAACAGCTCATTTCCAAACTGAAAATGTTAAAAACTTAGTAAAACTAAACTAAGTAATCACCTGCAGAGGTTTGATGTAAAGAATTCTACTGAAAGAGCTTTAAAAGAAGTTTTAAGACTAAAATCTTCACATCAGCAGCATTTTCCAGTTTTACATTTAGACAGACTTTAAGAAACCTATCACGATTTCTCTAATTTAATAATTTAGCTGCTGTAGTTTCATGTTTACACTCTTCCCCTGTGGTGTTTCCCTTTAGGGGATGTAGAGAAGTGAAATAGAAACTCTGACACAAAGCCAAGTATCGAACTACGCCTGAACAGAATCTGTTCTCACCGACTGAGCAGGTCCTGCAGCCTTTGGTGTCGGGTATTTTAGACGTCACCGCACATTTTCTAAACACAAAAATGCAGAAAATCAGCGTTTAAATGGGACGAGCGGATCTTTCAATCACGACTGAAAATGAACTGCAGAGAAACTTAGTGTGGTTGTTACCTAGGCAACAGTCTGTGAGTCGGTAAGGCGCTCATCCTCTGGTCTTTGCGCGCCTGTTCGTGCAGCTCCTTCAGCATGTGGGAGTGAAGCTGCGACGATTTACCTGCAAACGCAAAATCAGACACAGTTCACGAACTGATCTGCAAACTGTTTACAGACTCCGACATCACCAGACCTGAGATCAAATCCACTAAATGCACAAAGTCACAGCAATGCTCACTTATTTGTCTGGTAACTTTTACCAACAATCACATTAAATGTTTACATGAGACATCAAAGGGACAAAGCATCAGGTAAAAGTGTCAAATTAAAAAAATAAAGAGATAAAATTGAGTCTGACAAGACAGTCGGTGAAGAAAAAAGAATAAAAATCTTATTTTAATTCAGATTTTAACAGTTTTAGACTGGACATGTTTAAGTAAACAGACCAAAGCAGTTCTAATAACACTGAACAAAGAGGCAAAGAGAGAAGGTAAAAACAATTAATGAAAACATTCAGAGGTTTTAATGTAATCAAAGGTCCTTTGACCCATTTAATTAAAGCGTGTCCGCGGGTCTACCAGCAGCTTCCTAATGTGTTCTTTAAAGTGGACCCATTACACCTTTTCCTTATTTTCTGACACGTATGCTGTTACAATATCAGATATTCATGTTAAACATGGCTGACATCTCAAATACTTTTCAAAATGTATTGAAAACAAATGTTTGCTTTGTTTTTCTCAAGTTTAACAACCACTGGGTGAACAGTTAGCAAGTGTTTGCAGACAGGTTGGCATCTTCCATGCAAACTGCAGGTGACAGCAGCAAGCTGTTACCAACTAAGGATGTTTGGGTGTAGCAACTGCCAGCACGCTCCAGCCACCACTGGCCAAGCAGTGGAGGAATATGCATTTTTTCCTAGTGACTGGTAATCCCCAGAGTCGTTACAAACTGGTCTCTAGGCCTGTGTGACTGAAGCATAAAGCCTTGACTGTACTCTGTTGTGCACACATACAGCTGGAGACCCACAGCTGAGGAGTCATTCATCCTCATCTTTTAGATCCCATTCCTACAAGACTCCTCAAAGAAGTCCTGCCATTAATTAATGCTTCAATCTTAAATATGATAACTTAATCTATTAATCAGCTATGTACGCAGGCCTTCAAGCTGGTGGTAGTTAAAACGTTACTTAAAAAGCATCTCTAGACCCAGCTCTCTTAGGTAATCACAGGCCAATCACAAACCTTCCTTTTATCTCAAAATTATTGAAAGAGTAGTTGTAAAACTGCTAACAGATTGAATTGGTTTATTTTAAGAGTTCACAGTGATTAGAGCACGCTGTAGGCATTACAGTTACTGTGCTGCAGTGGTTTGTATCATCTCTATCTAATAGACTAAATTATGGAGTTCCACAGGGTTCAGTGCTAGGACCAGTTCTTTTACATTATACATGCTTCCTTTAGGCAGCATCATTAGAAGGCATAGCATACATTTTCACTGCTATGCAGATGACACCCTGCTTTAACTATCCATGAAGCCAGATAACACACACCAATTAGTTAAACTGCAGGAATGTCTTAAAGACAAAGACCTGGATGGCCGCTAACTTTCTGCTTCTTAATTCAGATCAAACTGAGGTTATTGTACTCGGCCCTGAAAATCTTAGAAATGAGCAATGAGGTCCACAGCAACAAGTGTGAGTCTTACTACAGACAACCAGCTAAATGAGGATCTGCTTTACCTGATACAGACATGAGGACGTTGTTACTGGTGTACACCCAGGTACACTTCCCAGGATACAACTGGAAGAGAAAGAAGAACCATTCATTCATTCATTTATTTATGTAATAGCTTGTCAGCTTTTTTATATTCAGGCCACTTACGGAAAAGCCTTTTCATAAAGTGTGATTCGTTTAACTCAATGCAGAAGGAAGGAACTAACTGAAATACCACATTAATGAGGATAATAATGGTAACACGCGCACACACAGGATGCAGTGATTTAAACAAGGTTCTACTTTTGCCCATTCAGCAATATTTGTCCTTCTTTAGTCACAGACACTGTATCTGAATACTTTGAAGGCTGGGAGTTATAATTAATGTGTCACAACAAGAGAACTTAAACTGAAAATTCAAAGCCAGAAAGCAAAAGCGCAAAGAATAAAGTTATTAAGAATCTATAGGAGCTTGTTTGGGAAGGAAAGCTTTTAAAACTTTTACTATCTTTGCACTGATTCACCACACACTGATTACCAGGAACTGGCTGGTACATTTTATACCTGTTAATCTCCTGCACTGGTCAGGTATGCAGCACAAGTTACGGTGGGGAATTACCCGAGTAAGAAGGGAACCACTATAGATAAAACCTCATAAAAACCTCATAAGCCCTGAGGTTAACCTGCTGAGCCCCAAAGCCTGCCCTGTAGCGCAGGCCTCTGCATGACTACTCAAGGAGGACAGTCAGGCTGAAACGACAATAGCAACTAAACCAAACCCAACAGTCTCTTTTAGGGTCACTTGAGTCTTTTGCCTTTTTTGAAAACTTTGTTAAAGTAGATAAATGGCTTACCAGCTCCATCGTGGCCTCAGAGCCGTTGAGGTTCAGGGTGTAGATCCTTCCTCTGCCCCCAGGATCAGATGCTGGTCTGAGGGAGGGACAGCAAGCACAGGCAGGTCAGACAGAAGTTTAAGGTGGCAAAGTGGAGAATTTTCTGAGCTCGTCTTTCTGTCATACAACCTTTAGAGGTGGGGTTCTCCCAGGTCGTGGAGCAGTTTATTTTAAGGGACAGCCGTGAAAGATCTTTTAAAGTAGACCTGCAGAAAGAGAGAGAGAGGGAGGGAAAGGCATTCAATTATTCACGCTGTCCTCTCTGCAGTAGACATGATTCAAACCACTGAAAGAATCTTACAAAACAAACACCTACAACACGCCCACTGAATGGTTATCCTTCAGCGTTAAAGGTCGAAGAGGTTTTAAGACCACAGGATCACAGAGGAGTGACATTTAGAGAAGGAAAGCAAAGCAGCTGTGGAATAAGACCCAAACGTACCACGAAGTCTGAGTTTTACTTCACCTTTAAATGTTATTACTCTATGTAGAAGCCTTAAACATTTCATCTCTAAAGTAAACTATAGTTTATGTGGACTTTACATGGATGTGATGACGTGTTACTTGCACACATTTTGAACAGTTTTATTTTCCATGCTTGCTATTTGTTTCATGTATTATTTTTTATTAAATTCTTTTAACAGGGCATATTTTGCTTATTTGTATTTTATTCTTGGGCTTTCTCTAGAGTCGCTTTGCATGATTCACAGCTCAAAATAACCCTTATTTAGCATATCCTGGTGGTTTTGATGCAGCCTTTTAGGCCCAGGAGTTCTGCACCGTTTTGAAATGAAAATCGATGCTGATTTCAAAAAAATATTCAGGCTTGCTGAGTGACCTCCTGCTTTCTGCCCTCCTTTTCTCACTTTGCCTTAAACTGTGAGGAATAAACAATAAAGGCAAAGAACCGAAAGGGCTGGGTGGGCGCTGCACACATCACTGCATTCTCACATTATGGTGTCCAAGTGTGCCTAACCATTCAAGCCACAAGGAGGTGGCATCCCCTTCAGCTGAAGAGTTCCTGTGTCTTTATTCGGATTCTGATTGGCTGCATTTAGTTAAACAGAAGACTCGAATACCTTTTGTGTGTCTCTGATGTCATACAGAGCAGGACCAGCGAGAACTATCTGAAACCTGAGCGTTTGCCTCACAGGGACATACTTGCAAGTAAGCCAAACTCATTTTCACAACTTTGGCCATATTTAATAGAAGCATCTGCCAAAGTAACACGTATGTATATATGACAGGAACTAAGGACAAACATAAAAGGTCCCCTTTGATTTTTAACACTCGTCTATAAAATTGCAAGATTAAATTCACCGTTGAATTTATGCCGTTCATCGCTTCGCTTGAAACATAAACTTAAAACATCAAAAATCTGAGACGCTCAGCAAAGAGCTGATGTGCAGGGAGGAGAAACTCACAGGAGGTTTCTTCAGGACGGGGCTGGCACACTCAGGATGATCCTGCAAACAGAAAGAAAATATGATGATGATGACGATAACTGTGGCAGGATGCAGTCGCACTGTGAGGCAGCAGAGAAGATGTGGATAACTGGGAATAGGGAAATGGGAAGATGTGCGGCTCAGTTTCCTCCACGACTGTCAGAAAATCATCTTCTGCCAGGCTGTCACTGAACTTTATCTCTGCTTCCTCAGAAAGGGTAGTTTGTTCTGATCTGGACATTATTTCTGTGTTCTGGACACAGTTATTCTAAGAAGTGGACGGGGACAATGTTACACTGTTTGAAAGCGCAAAGAAATGTCATCTTCCCTCGCCTTACCTTTGTTGTTGGCTGCCGTCTGCGTATGCCTTTAGGGGGAAGTTCAGGAGGAAGGAGGTCAGGTGGGGCTCATTAAACTGGAGAGGTAAGGATGCAGGGTCTGGAACACACACACACACACACACACACACACACACACACACACACACACACACACACCACACACACACACACACACAGAATAATAAGAAAATGGACTGATAATTTGCACGTCATATAAAATATGCTTCGATATTAACATCTTGCTGCCACAGCTCAGTTGGCTGAGCAGGTGACTTGTGCAGAAACACTGCAGCACATTTGACGCTCACCTGAGTGTCGTGTAGTTCGTGGTTGTGGTGTGGGCCGGACGTGCGTCCCGCTGGACGTCCTTATGAGCGGGGTGGGGGCGCACAGAGAGGTCAGCTTTCTTGTTCGATCGTCTTCTGCCGCCATGCTTTCCTCTGAGCTGGTTCGTTGTTTGGGCTGCACAAAGAAAAAAAAAATCAGGCACAAAAGACTTTTGGTAAAATGACTGATGAGCGTTTTCTGCAGTTTCATCTTTGAATCATAATATTTTAAAGGGAGATCTCTTATGTCAGCTTCCATGTCTATATTCTTTGGCTATATAAAAGTAGCTTTGCATGATCAAAATAATCCTTATTTATCTGACACTTGGTGCAGCATCAGTTCAGCCTCTGTCAGAAACAAGCTGCTTTAGGCCCTCCCCCTTAAGATAATTTTCTTTTGATTGGCTGCCGCTCGCAAACAGATGATTTGAAGGTAGGTGGTTGGAGTCTGTGCCCAATATGATCATGTCAAGGACATTCTGTGACATCAAACAGAGCAAGAATAGAAAAAACTGTCTGAAACAGAATGTTTAAAGCAGCCTGTTATTTGTAAAAGAAACTCTGGCCATGTTTAATATGAACATCCATGCCTGTAACAATGTGTTTAGACAGAAAAAGGACAAGTATAATAGATCCACTTCAAGATATCACTCTGCGTTTAGACAAAGACACAGAAAAGCCAGAGAGCGCCTCAGAGCAAGTTCAACAGGCCGTTAAATAACTTACAACTGTGCTAGAGATCCAAAGAGAACGAGAACTGAGTCGTGAAACAAAACTCTGACTGCATACATCTCCACACAGCGCTGTCTATCTGTCAGGCTTTTAAATTTCCTCCTAAGATAAAATTACAAAATAAAAACTATGTAATGGGTTTAATTTTGAAAGATAAAAGGCTGATATTAATAATCAGCATTTCGACTGATTTATTCTAACATGTAAGAATAAATAAACAAATAACTCTTAGCAGAAATCGCATGTTAATAAACAACGAACAGCAAGCCTTAATAATCACCTTTGGAGGAAGAGGAGGCGGCGTTTCATCAGGCGGCATTATGAACCTGTCGGCAGAGAGAGTGTCGGTTCAGTCTGCTGCGTTAATGATGGGAATAAACTTCACATTAATATGCGTGTGTTTACTGGGCTTACCCAGGAGGCTGTATCGTCGGGCTGAGGACAGACAAACAGACAGTGTCAATGCAAATCACTGAAATCACTGATTACTGCATACAGAGACAAACACGGCTTTTTGGTCCACCTCCGCTGAAATATGGTTGTTTTTGAGATATACAGAAGTACGTACTGAGATTATTGGTGCTAATTGGTTAAAGTGAGAGAAGACAACCACAGCAAACTTGTGAAAGTCCTGCAACCTACACTGGGTGACGAACGGCCGAAAGTCAAATTTTTCCCACATGACCTGGAGGAAGATACGACTGTTTGTACCGGCCGTCACACAGACAATAATCTGTCCACTGAAGTCCATCTGTCTCTACCTCAGAGGACTAATGTAAAAAGCTCTTTGCAGTCTTCTCTGCAGTGGAAACGCAGACAAACAACAGTCTGTTCTTTCTCACTTAGGAAACTGTGTGATGTCTCTTACATGTCCACATCATCATAGTCGTCGTCTGATTCTGAGTCCTGGTCCCTGCAACAGGAAAAGGGCAGACAGGTGCAACATTTGAATAACATACTGGCTTTAATGTGACTGTGGGACTGATGTGCGATCTGCATACCCTGGTGGGCTCTTGCTGCTGTCACTCGATCCATCGATGGCCTTAACTGTGAAAACAAAAAGCAGACCAAACCAGATTAGAAAGTGTGCAAATGTCCAGATGTACAAAACCAGGAGCTAAAATGGGAAACATGTTCAGTTCACTGGGATGAGTACAGATTATATGATCAACATTCTGCCTCTTCTCCAGGTGTAAATGATCAGTTCTCCTTGTAACTGAAAGATCTTATATAAATACATATAAAGTATGTTTTTAACAATGTACATATGGATGTAGAACTTGTATGCATGCATATTCAGCACATATAATGCACGTGTGCCCTCTAATATAACTCACAGTTACAGTCGGTGAGTCGGTCTTCGTGGGCCTCTGAGTGTAGATCTGATTCACTGGGAAAAACAAAAACAAGAAACTTAAACATCATGAAGCAACAGGACTGAGACAGAGGATCAGTGAAACACTCTGTGGCCACAGCTAACAAGGCAAAGGCCAAGAAATTAAACTATGAGAAGCACAGACATTCACACGTCGGCCAAAGATGTGTTTCAGGGTCTGTGGGAACTTTTATCAGAGGTCCAACTTAGAGGAGGTTAAGTTTTGATCCAAATCTGCATGATGACATTTTTGGAAGGATTCTTGACTCTTTTGAGATTTGTGGAAAATGGACATGTGGTGTCATATCTTCATAAAGACACAGAATGATAAGAACAGGAAGAATCCAGGCATCTCATGTTGATATTCTCAGGGAAATTTAAACTTAATCTGGATCCAGAGACACAGTAAATGCAGTGTGGGGGGAATTTTCAGCCTTGGTGGAGGTGCTGAGTCTTGGACTGCTCTTGCTTTCTATGCACAGTATAACGTACCCAGCAATGCACTTCTTGTGAGTTGTAAATGTGCACATGTTCTTTGTTTACCAAAGAGGAAATGATACCTGGAAGGGAATACTTGGGAACATAAAATATTTCAAAGTGAAATATATTTGTTTTCTTACAGCTTATGTCAGAGTTGGTTCTTCCCGCTCTGTTGTGTTTGTTGATGGACTGGATTCTCCTTAACGATCCAGGAACAATCACCTTAAATCACAGCAAAACATACGATTAACCCAAAACATCCGAGGCTGGGACCGCCACACAGACAGAGAGCTTCATCAGTCTGACCTCCATCTCTTCATCGTCTGTGACCAGGCAGCTCTTCAGTTTCTCAGGGTGTCGGTACTTCTCCAGCAGGTCCAGGGTCAGCTCCTGGTTCAGGCACTGATGGGTCAGAAAGGTGTGCTGCAGAGAGCAGAGAGACAGACATCAGGACAAGCTAGCAGAAAAAGTGAGAAAGCAGGCGATTCCTCATGGTTTGAAACCTGCACCAGGTCTAACCGCGTATGACACAGGAAGTAATCATGGTTGTGTGATGGAAAAATCAAGAGGGAGGGGCTCATTTGCATGTGTAAAGGGTGTAAAGCTAGTGTGTTGTGGCATCTTCCACAACACATTGTATGTTTTGAGACTTTTTAAGGCGCCGTAGACATCGTGTGATCAGCCTGATGCAGAAATAACACAAACGAACCCAAAGACAATCACGCGAGAGTGAGCGCTACTGACTGTGAGCATCTTGGTGGCGCTCGGTCTCTTCTTGGGGTTCCTCACCAGCATGGCCTTCACAAAGTTATAAAATTGGATGACCTGAAGACGGGAGACATGTGCAAGGTCAAGAAAATACAACACTGTTATCTGACGGGCAGAGCCTCCGTTATGTTAATATATTGTTTAAGCATACAACGATTCAAGGCTGCACCTGATGATGACGAACTGATTACATATAATACATGTTTCAGTAGTGCTGCAGGCTTTTAGTTACCATTTTGACTTGTCCTTCAGTTTAGGAGGCTGGTAGCCGCTCTTGGACATGAGAAACAGCACTCTACAGGAGGAAACAGAGCACAGCATTAAAACACACAGAATGACTTATGGTGTGTTTGTTTGAGTCAGCTGAGGGTGTGTGAGTAACCAGGTACATGTGGGTGGTGGAAACACTCGATGTTTTCTATGAATGTCAGCATGCGCATGCAGCACGCTCGGCTGTGTGTCCACATGCACGCCGATGTACCGAGGGGAAACATTTGAGGTGAGTGTCACGTGCACACATGTTTCCAGACATCTTGAGAAAGACCTGCAGAGCATTTTTATTGCACACGCACACGCACGCGTGTGATTGCAACAAGATAACAGCTCAATGCGTGAAATCCTCGGTGCGTCTTTTATGGAATATTTTTCCTCCTGCAGTCAGTCGATACGCTCTGACTGCAGGTAAGCGGTGAGCTCTGTGAGAAACCTGTAAGATGTGACTGATACGACTGCGTGATGATACGACTACAAACCCACGATGATGAGATGTGAACCGGTCTAGTGATTCGACTCGATGACTTCACATCTCTCACTCGCCTTAACAAAAAAAAAAAGCACCATGCCTTTATCTTTAACACCAGCGACTTCCTTTCAACTTGGACTTTTTCAGCTTCCTCTGCTTTGCAGGAACCTGCAGCAGAGATGCAGACAGCCTCCTCTTCTTCTTTTTTTTTTAAGCCTGCAACAATATTGCTTCTGGTGAAGTTCTCACCGATTAAATTGTTCTCTGAAAACTGTTTCTTACCCACAATGGCAAGAGATATTTGGCCTTAATTTTAGGAACAATGAGAAACATGCGAAGGCGCCTGTGATCCGTCTGTTTCAAAACGTGACATTAAACATACGCTGAGTCTTTTACTGCGGTGTTGGACTGTTTGTGTGAGCTCTACTGAGTTTGAGGTTATATACCCATTTCAATTATTTATTTTTACCAGTGAAACCAATATAACATCTCCACATTCACAAATATACATTTCTGACATTCAAAAACAAAACAAAAACAAATCAGCGACCAATATAGCCACCTTTCTTTGCAAGGACACTCAAAAGCCTGCCATCCATGGATTCTGTCAGTGTTTTGATCTGTTCACCATCAACATTGCGTGCAGCAGCAACCACAGCCTCCCAGACACTGTTCAGAGAGGTGTACTGTTTTCCCTCCTTGTAAATCTCACATTTGATGATGGACCACAGGTTCTCAATGGGGTTCAGATCAGGTGAACAAGGAGGCCATGTCATTAGTTTTTCTTCTTTTATACCCTTTCTTGCCAGCCACGCTGTGGAGTACTTGGACGCGTGTGATGGAGCATTGTCCTGCATGAAAATCATGTTGTTCTTGAAGGATGCAGACTTCTTCCTGTACCACTGCTTGAAGAAGGTGTCTTCCAGAAACTGGCAGTAGGACTGGGAGTTGAGCTTGACTCCATCCTCAACCCGAAAAGGCCCCACAAGCTCATCTTTGATGATACCAGCCCAAACCAGTACTCCACCTCCACCTTGCTGGCGTCTGAGTGGGACTGGAGCTCTCTGCCCTTTACCAATCCAGCCACGGGCCCATCCATCTGGCCCATCAAGACTCACTCTCATTTCATCAGTCCATAAAACCTTAGAAAAACCAGTCTTGAGATATTTCTTGGCCCAGTCTTGACGTTTCAGCTTGTGTGTCTTGTTCAGTGGTGGTCGTCTTTCAGCCTTTCTTACCTTGGCCATGTCTCTGAGTATTGCACACCTTGTGCTTTTGGGCACTCCAGTGATGTTGCAGCTCTGAAATATGGCCAAACTGGTGGCAAGTGGCATCTTGGCAGCTGCACGCTTGACTTTTCTCAGTTCATGGGCAGTTATTTTGCACCTTGGTTTTTCCACACGCTTCTTGCGACCCTGTTGACTATTTTGAATGAAACGCTTGATTGTTCGATGATCACGCTTCAGAAGCTTTGCAATTTGAGACTGCTGCATCCCTCTGCAAGATATCTCACTGTTTTTGACTTTTCTGAGCCTGTCAAGTCCTTCTTTTGACCCATTTTGCCAAAGGAAAGGACGTTGCCTAATAATTATGCACACCTGATATAGGGTGTTGATGTCATTAGACCACACCCCTTCTCATTACAGAGATGCACATCACCTAATATGCTTAATTGGTAGTAGGCTTTCGAGCCTATACAGCTTGGAGTAAGACAACATGCATGAAGAGGATGATGTGGACAAAATACTCATTTGCCTAATAATTCTGCACTCCCTGTAAGTGCAGAAGAGCATAATTTGCATGAACTGACCTTTACATACAAACCTGTGCATCAGGTGAAAACCGAGGTTAGTTATAGGAAAATAAAATAAAGAGTATTAAAGAAGTAATAATGTGATGGAAATTGCATTGCCCTTAAATTAAATAAAGGAGAGGGACGGAGTCAGCAGAATCAGTCGGACCCGTGATGGAATAATCGGAATAACGTCTCAACTTCCTATTCTGCTCACAGATCAGGGAGTCAGGAAAGGGACTTCCTGTGTGAAATATAAACGTCTCCAGCACTGATCTGAAATATTGTTATGGTAGCAACAGGAAACATCCTTGATGTGGTTAAATAAATTAAAGATGGAGGCTGCAAGGCCTCATAGTGTGTCTGTGTGTGGGTACAGCAGTGTACACGTGCTCGGGCATGTGAGTTGTGTCTTTCGGTGTGCGTTTACCTCAGTGGGTGGACATCAAACATTGGAGGCTGCAGCTCTGCCAGCTCGATGGCTGTGATGCCCACAGACCAGATGTCACAAAGTTCATTGTACCCGCCTTTAATCTCCACAGCTGCGACCTCTGGGGCCATCCTGAGGACAGGAGGGATACAGCAGCAAGTGTTTTTAACACAAATACAAAACAAAGAGGGGGAAGAAGGCCGGACGGTTACGGTGATACAGACTGTCACTGTGTCAGGCTTACACTGCACGCTTAATGAGAATATCTACCAAAATAATTAGTGAAGTGTCTTGCGGCTCCAGACGTTTGACGTGGGGGTTGAGTGAACCACATGGGTACACAGGTGGGTGTTTGCGGTTGTTAGAAGTTGCCTATGTAATTAGTAACTGCCATTACCACGAGGTCAGAACACCCACACGGCATAAAAACAACATTAAATCATCCAAGAACACTGCAGTGTTATAAAGGGCAAACGGTATAAAAGATTCTTGGCTAAAGCAGCATGAAGAAATGTCAGCGATATATGCCGTATGCTGTGCAGTGACTCAGTGTGGCCAGCCACAAGCTGTAGCGCCTTTTAATGGAACGTTAGACCGAGAGCTCAGAGTGGTCGGAAAGCAGAGAGGAGCGGAAACGCCGAAGCGAGACTAGCTCGAAAATCAGTAAATCAATTAACAATTAATCGTCACCGGTTTACATTCTCGATTGGACTGAGAAATGAAGCATGTGCACGGCCGTGCAGTTCCTCTAACGGCCACTGAAGGCTGGTTCCATGAGCCGGTCCTCATAGACGAACATGTTCACAACCTGGTGCAAAAAGCTGTGCCTCTGCAGACAGAAACACATCTGCATTTTGCTTTACAGGCAGCGGTGTGATCAGTGTGGCTCCTTGGCTGCTTGGCAGGTGTCCCAAATGAGTCACCTGTAGCCAGTCACTGTTGGCCAGGCTTCACCTCACCTAATTGGTCACTGAACTGGATCTCGTCGCCGTGTTTGTGCTGTTGCTTTTCTAATGCAGTGACCGGAATAATAATATAACTTGCTGTGTTGTACAGACCATCCAAGAGGTTTGTGCTTTATTTTTAGCAAATGAAGCTGTGGTACTTTATTAGCCTGTTACTCAGCACTAATTAGAATAGAATAGAACAGAATAGAATGCCTTTTATTGTCATTATACACATGCACAATGAGATACAGAGCATCTCCTACTCAGTGCAGACATGTGGGAAAAGAAAGGGGGTGAGGTGCAAAGTTCTGCAGCACTATACACATATGAACACTATTCAAAAAATAGAAAATGTACAAATATGCAAATTGTGAAGAAAAAAATTGTGTTAAATATTTACAGTCTGGGTTATTGCATGTAAATTAAGTATTGCACAGTGGTGGTGGTAGTTGTGAGTCTGTGTATAGAGGGAAGACCTTGGGTTGGGGGTGGAGCTGTGTTGTCAGTGCATGTGTGAGTTCAGGGTGTTTCGGGCTTTTGTGAAGAAACTATGCTTGAGTCTGTGGGTCTTTGTGCTGATGCACCAGGATGGAAGCTGTCCTTGATGATGTTTGTATATCATGTAATAACAAATAGCTGTGCTGTTGTACTCATACAGGTTATAAATGCAGCTTAATACCTCTAGTTAAAGTCGTAGCACTCCACGCTGTCCAGCTTGCCAACTCAGTGCACTGAGGCACGTAGACACGATTAACACGACCTGTTGAAGTTCAAGGTGATTTCAGTCAGTGGTCCCGAACCTTTGGGCCACGGACGGAGTCGTTTGGTACCGGGCTGCGAGAGTTGAGGCTCGGGTGTGAAATGTATGGTTTTCAGGGTTTTTATCGTTATTTTTTATCGTTAACTCGGTTTCCCTGGGTCTGTTCCCATGTGTTATGAATGAATCTTCTTTTTTTTGGTACCGGTACTGGTTTTATTTTGTTGTATTTATCCGCGACACCTTATATATTTTCATGTGACACCGTGAAAATATTGTTGGGCATATACCGGTCCGTGGTGCAAAAAAGGATGGGGACCGCTGATTTAAGTGACTCTGGATGTGCCACAGCTGTTTGTACCACACGGGCTGATCTGAGTGATTTTCAGGGATTTTCCTGCACAACTATCTGCAGAGCTTACAGAGGAAGGGTCTAAAAATGAGAGCATTTCCAAAAGAGTCAGAAGAGAATGGGCAGGCTGCTTCGAGATGAAGGAAGACAAAAGTATAACTAAGATACGCAAAAGCAGATAGGCTGCAGCAGAAGACCACAACCACCAGGTGTGAATTTCCTGTTGTTAGCTACAGTTCACACTGGCTCACCAAAACTGAACATCAGAAGATCAGAAAAACGTCGCCTGAACTGATGAGTCTCAGTTTCTGTTGTAAACTTCAGATGGTCGGGTCAGGGTTTAGCATAAGCGACGGGAACGCAGGGACCCATCCTGCCAGGGTGCTGCTGGTCATGCTGTGGACCTCTTAGTAGCATCTAAGCATCGTCTAAACACCACAGTCTACCTGAGTATTTCTCTTAACGATAACAGTGTACCAACTTCTGATGGTAAACTGGTTTTCGAACATGACAATTAGGTCACTGTACTCAGATAAGGTGACCACACTCACCTGATCTCATGAGTCACCAGATCATCACTGACGTGCAGCCAACCAACCTGCAACTGTGCGATGCTACGATACTATGTGAGGTCACGTGACGTCACGTGACGTCACGTGACGTCAACGTGGATTAAACTCTCAGGAATGTTTGCAGCACTTTGTTGAATCTATGACATGAAGAACTAAGGCAGCTCTGACCCAGGTCTAGAAAAGTGTACCTAATAAAGTGGTGGGTGGTCTAAATGATCAGTTTTGTAGTGGAAAGGGATAAAAGCTGAACGACGTCTGAGATCTTACCAATACGGCGTCCCGATGAAGGACATCCTGCGAGCGAGCGTGGCCGTGATCTGAGCTGAGATCCCAAAATCAGCTGCACAACAGAGGAAAGAAAACATCAATAAACGCCAAAATAACCACAAATTAAACACGTGTTCATGAATTTCAGTGACTAAAATGAGACTCACCAAGTTTATTTATTTCAGAGTTGCTGCGAAACGCTTCAAAAACTAAGAGCGCAATCCAGAGGTGTGGACTCGAGTCACATGACTTGGACTCGAGTCAGACTCGAGTCATTAATTTTATGACTTTAGACTTGACTTGAAAAAATGTTCTAAGACTTGTGACTTGACTTGGACTTTTACACCAATGACTTGGGACTTGAATTGGACTTGAACCGGTTTACTTGAAAAGACTTGATATTTCACCCCAAATATAAAATTTAACACGCATATTATATAGAGATTGAAAATGTGACGTCATTCACGGGTAGAACCGCAAAGGATTCTGGGAACTCGTGGCAAGCGGTACTAGCGCACGCAGGCTTTCAATTAAAATCAGTTATACAGCGATAAAAAGAAACACAAAAATGTCAAGAAGCTGTTGTATTATTAACTGCAATAGCCGGTCGCATGACAGCCACGGGAAGCCGACGGGTAAAGAGATCGGTTGTTATCGGATTACGTCGTTGAAGAGAAATTGCTCAAGCCATGTTTCCGAAGTAACAAAGACGCGACGGATGGCCTGGATTGCAGCCATTCAAAGACCAAATATAACGTCCCAGAACACTCCAGCTCACAGGTTAGTCTGCTCCAAGCATTTCCACAAAGGTCAGTCTGCTGTTGTAGTGAATGCGTCATTTTTCTTAACATAATTGGTGATATAGGTTACAAGCAAGTCTGGCGCTGAACAGAAATTGTCGCGCTATGCTCCTTTATTTATTGTGCATAAATAGTGAATTGTCCTGACACAATATTGCGTTTCGCTTCTGTTATTATGGTACATTGACAAAAACATATACTTTTATTCACAGGATAAAACAGGTTTTTTGTATCACTAATTGCCCAGTACGATTACAGCATACAGTATTATTGTCACTGCTACATTTCTGTGACGCTACCAGAAATGATTTCCACTACTAATTAATTACCGTTGAGCTCAAAGGTCCTATTAATAAACGGTTAAGGAATGTGTATTTATGATGACGATTTGTGAGACTGGTAAACTTATGATACGTACGATGGTCTTTCCTTTCTACACGGTGCATTTCAAGGTCCTGCACCCATCCGTCGGTAAACTGTACCTGGGCTTGTTGCAGTGACCTGAAGTTACTAAACTTCATGAGTGTATGCACTCACTCCAAGAACCGTATGATTATTAATATGCATATAAATATGCTAAGATGAGATAGCTGACTTCATCTAACTAGCAAATGTTGTCCAGGCTACGTTGGTGATGCAGTTTTTTTTTAAATGATATTTTTTTTAAAATATCATTTATTTATGTATGATATTTTTGTCATGCGATTTTAAAGCCGGTCCTACAACCGCATCCAAGAATAACATGCAGCTTATCTCAGAACTGTCGGTGAAAATTATTCTTGGAGCTAGGTTTAATTGAGCTGCATTTTAAAGAGGTGCAATTTCACAATTTGTGTATATTTTCTACGTTCACTATTTCGTCATGTGTTGAGAAAAACACAGATTTAAAAATTACATGGTCTAATATTTACATTTAGCATAACTGCAACATAATTTTTTCGTTTTTTTTAATGACTCGAAAGGACTTGAAATTCAAAATTTCAGACTTGTGACTTGACTCGGACTTTTACACCAGTGACTTGAGACTCGACTCTGACTTGCCTGACATTACTTGAGACTTGACTTGAGACTTGAGGATAAAGACTTGAGACTTACTTCAGACTTGCAAAACAATGACTTGGTCCCACCTCTGGCGCAATCTCTGACATGTTTGTGCTTTCAGCAAATCAGGTGAAAATTCAGAGATCTAATTCATGATTTGATTCTTCAGTAAACACGACAGGGAGATGTCGCTGTGAGAACGTCTCTTTTTGCGGTGAATGAGTCATGCTAACCATGCCGGTACAGTGCAAAGCAGACAGTGCAAACTTCCACCTACCCAACTTGACCTCGCCCTGATCGTTGAGGAGGATGTTGGCACCCTGAGAGGAAAAGAAGGCGAGATAAAACATCAACACAAAAACATCTTCTTCTATATATTTAAAAAAGTCTTCTTTACCCACTCAGTGATCTTTAACTGAACCCACACAGGATGGAAATAAAAAAAAACATGCACAAGATTCATTCAGCTTCATTTAAGAATGTATTTTTATAGCGTCTGTTCTGACTAATATAGTTTATAGTTCCTAACTTTTGTCTGTTTGTTTTTTAAGATGAAGAACTTTCGCTTTCTTTCAAATTACATCACTGAGCTGCTACGATTAAAATAATAATAATATTTTTTAGGACTACCATGAACCCAAATCTTAAGGACAACGTTGGCCTTGTTTACATCTTCTTCTCTGTCACCGCACTGACCCAGTTTTTCCAGTCTGCAAGCTTCATCTGCTGAGGTCTAATGTGCTCTCCCACAAAATAAGCAACACGGGGGGAACAAAAAACAAAGAATAAAAATCTCACATCACATTTCGCTCACCTTAATATCTCTGTGGATTTTCCTCTCTGCATGCAGGTACTCCAGGCCCTGCGCACACACACGCACAACAAAATAAAAGCCTTTAATTTAACCTGATAACATTTACACTTGATAGACTCTGACGGAATTAAAAATTCCTCTAAATGCTCTAGTTTAACCATCAGGAAACCACTGCTGTGTAAAATGAGACTGGTGACACACTGTGTACAGTAGGACTGAAGTTACTGAAGTGTAGTTTCCTTTTTCAGTGTTGCATTTTGGAGACAGCCTGTGCACTCATTTCACACACCTGTGACGTTTGTCTGGTTTAGGGGACGATTTGTTTTATATCAATTATTTTGTAGCTCGCTGTTTACCTCGCAACGGTTGCAAAGAGGCATAACATATGATTCAAAGGCCCCACAAGGGTGAAAACTGTGGATATCTGTATAATTTTCCTGATGCCAGCAAACATTTTGATGTCTCTTCTCAACATTTAGAACAAAAAGAAACTGATGAAAATAAAAGTTGCTGTGAGGGAGGCCTGAACAGCTGATGTCTCAGTGAAAACAGAGGTCATACTGCTCTGTGTGTGTGGGTTGGATGTCATGTGGTGGTCGACTCACAGTCATTCCACAACCCGATTAGTTGACAGTTATTTGCTTCCTGTATTTGGTGTGACTGAAAGGCTCCATCAGCATCTCTACGTTTAAGATGCAGTTTTTGCAGTCATACCGCGACCGAGTCTGACTGAACAAATGACGTCAATGCGTAATCCACGTCGGCTGGGACATCGCTCGACTTCCCATCATTTATTTTAATTTGTTCTGGGTTTTTTTTTTTACACAAGGCTTCATTCAGCTTGTCGTCTTAGCTGCAATAGTTAGATGAACATCCAAGTACTGGAACTACCCTTTTTTCCTTTCCAAACAACTCTTTAATTCTTTAATAAACATAACTGCTGCTGGCCGATGACCTTCACACAATAACACGTTGCCTCACAGCAGTTCAAACTCAGCCTGGACTTTTTCAGCTTTCTCCTGGAGCTCCAGCTTCTCCTGTCATTAAAACAGGAGAAGCTCTCTATGCATGTTGTGGGTTGTCAGGTTTGCCAGCTTCAGGCATATACAAGCTAAGCTGACTCCCGTACCAGACAATGCATATATTTTCCTCAGAGAAACAGAAAATACAAGGCTGCTGGGAGATGGTCAGAAAACCCAGTAAACACAAGTATTTACAGGTATGACTACTTAATATTTTTATTTAGTAAATGCACGTCAGCACTAAAGAGGAACAAACAGGAAACAGTAAATTTAAAAGAATGTGATTACCTGTAGCATCTCCCTGCAGATGTAGGCTATCTGTGGCTCGGACAGAGGACCCGTCACTGTGGAACATGATGCAGTTTTTAACATACAGATTCAAAACAGTCACAGAACAACGCAGAGCTGAAAAGGGTTAATTTAGCGATCATTTTTTATTCAAATGATTAAATTCAGGCTGCAGATTTAAAAAAGATATTTCTGGTTTTCAGAACATTTCTGACCAGCTTCACTACAAACAAGCACAAAGACACATCTTAAAAAAAGATATCACGATGCTCAGTGTAGGGAAACGATCTGAACTGTCATTTCCTTTTAAGATTTTTAATGCTTGCACAAAGACTTCAGTGCGCTGTTAACCACTGTGGATCTGTAGCTGTCACAGTGCTTCTGTATTCAGGACTGTTTTGGCCTCTCGTGCAGAAATTTGTCCTCGTTAAGAAGCAGAATAAACCCAGCTGCCTGTGCAGGATGTCTGAAAGCCTCAAGCTTTCACGCTCGTGGATCTTTTGTTGTAAATCAGCTATAACCCCGTTATAAATTGTGGTATTGTTAAGGCGGCCTCACACTCATATTTATAAAAAACTGCCCTCCTTAATCTTTTTAAAAGTGCTATTAAGGCGACTTTCAAGATGTCTGCAGTTTCCTAAACCTTCGTGTATTCTTCGGTTGAATATTTTGGGTATAACTGGTTAAATATTCACATGCTATGCAAAGTATTGTACATGTCTGTGTGTCTCTGACATTGATGATGGTCAGACTGATTGTGAATAGCTTTCCATCCATCTAATACTTAATATTTAACACTTTTCTACTCTCACTTTAAGCCAAGCCACCTTTCCCCATTCACACTGCTCTTTATTCTCTGCCATAAAAAGCTTTGTACTCACTGCACACACACAAAATTGGGTGTCGTTCAAAGAAATTGAACCTGTGACTTTTAACGTAGCATGAAATGCCCTCTAGCTCCTGAGCCACAACTGCTCATTACAAATAAATATTATCAGTGTTTCAGATTTATAATAAATGTAATCAGAATACAAAGACAATCATCATGTTCGTGCTCGCAGCTCTGCTCTGCCCTCTGTGATGAATGAGCCATGGCTGTGGCTTAGGAGGCGGAGCTTATCTAGTCCACATGCTGCTCTTTGGGTCAGACACTGGACCCTTTAGTTGTTTTCTAAAAGGTGCGTTGAAAGGCACTTCTTAGCATTAAGAGTGAATTGCAAAATATTACTAAATACAGGTGTAGTCAGTTAATTTCAATATCTTTTTTTTAATGTCAAACCCAGCTACTGCTGGTCCAACGTGCCAGTAAAGCTGGGTTCTCTAAGCACCAGTCAATTTTCCATCATCAGCTGAGAAAACCCCAGAAGGACAGAGTCTCTGCACGCTGTTTTCATTTTAAACTAAAGGTTCATGTGGCTGTGTTTGCTGGTTAAAGACTCAGACGTTTTACAGTTTTCACTGTTCGGCTGCTATCTGTCCATTTACTAAAAGGGAAAATCACTGACACATGTGAACGAGACTCTCACGCTGGCACTTTTTATTATTTTTTGTAAAGCATGAAAGTGTGGGTGTGGGAAAAAAGATCCTCTTCTCTCTCTTTTTCCACACAGAAAGGATTATTGGGTCCGTATCAATCCACTCGCACAGGCAGCGATTATATCAGTTATCTGACAGTCGGAGACACTTTTGCATCTTATCACGCTCTGGTTTCCATCTTTAGACCGACCTTGTGTCACATGACTCACCATGGTAGATATCCTGGAGGGAGCCTCCGCCGCAGAACTCCATACAGATCCACAGTTTGTTAGCTCTGCAGACAGAAAAGGAAGACCTGTGCGTTAACTCCGAGGTTAAGAAAACAGGAGGGAGGAAGGAACGAGAAACAGGGATCTCACCGAATGTAGCTGCCATAATATGCCACGATGTTGCGGTGCTTGCAGCTCTTTACGATGATGATTTCCTGCTGGATGATAGAAAAATCGTCCTCTGTGGGGTGAGACACAGAAGACACGTCTTTATTATCATCAACACCGCATTAGATGCAAACACAGGTGCAGTCGGAGGGCACCTTTCATGTATTTTCACAGCCCTAATAGCACATTTTGGTTTATAAGTCATGCTATTGGACTGGATCTGCCTTTATATTGTGCAAAACTGGCTGCAGGTGGATCATGTTTTGACCAAAATACAACATAAAAAATAAAGGGACTTGTTTTCTGCATGTGTTATGTTGCTTTTTGTACTGTTTTCATTTGCCTGTGTGTTTTAAACTGCAAATCATTTCCCTCTGTTTTTCTTTCAATATTTTTCATTTAAATTTAAATGTTTAAGATGATACACTTAAATAATCAGTCTCATTTTTGGAGGTCAGACTAATCAGACATGATTTCCATCCGTTTGATGGAAAATAATGAGGATGATCATACTGCTGCCTTCTTTGGTTGCCGGTAGAATCTAACAGTTTCCTGCCTCTGTATGTGTCATTTATGTGTTTGCTCCAACTGCTGCGCCAACGATTTTGTAAAATTAAACCTCCCTAATCAAAATACAATGATGACTGGACGCAGTAATTGCACTGCATTAAAAACAAATTCAAGATCTTTGCTGCAACAAAGCTGAAATAATATTTATTATCTTTGTCCATAGCCGAGATAAAACATCTACAGCCCAGCAAAGATGGCTAAAACGCTGATGTCATCTCTGTGGTCCAAACTGGTCATAGTGCAACTGCAAAAACTGAAACGTACCAGGTCTAGACAGAAGGTCTTACACAAAGTGATCAGATAATAAAAATCAGGAATTAAATGAAATTTTTTGGTTATTAAACGGTTGTGAACAGACAGCCACACCATGGCCTCTCTAGGAGAGAACGTCCCAGCAAATTCACCCCAAAGTCAGTCATGCAATGTTCAGAGAACCTGAAAAAAACAGCAAGACCATCTTCATCTCGCACTCTACAGGCCTCTGTTAGCGTGTAACAGTACAACCGTACAACAATTACAGCTTGTTTATATGAAATGCAAGAGAAAGCCTTAAAAAAGGCATCTGAACAAACCACAAAACAATTGTGGAACAATTTCGTTTGGAACACCAACCACAGCACATCAGCACAAACACCTCATGCTGTCAACACGGGGGTGGAGGGCTGATGATTTGGGCTTGTTTACACTCACTTGACTTGGTCACCTTGCATTGAACCGTGAACTCCTTTCTATTGTAAAGTATCGGTAGATGTCTGACAGCTAAAGCCCAGCCAAAATTGGGTCATGCAACAAGAGAGCGACCTCAATCTACAACAGAATGGCTGAAAATCAAAAGAATGAAAGTGCTGGAGTTAGAGCTGCCACGATTAGTCGACTAGTCGCGATTACGTCGACTATCAAAATCGTCGACGACTGATTTAATAGTCGACGTGTTGTTTGAAGCTTTGTAAGATCCCAAAAGATGCAGGGATAAGTAGCAGGATTTAAGAGTGTAATCACGGACTGAAACAGAAGATGGCAGCACTGCATGTACGAGGATGCCAGCTGTCGTTAAACCCCGAAGAAGAAGAAGCTGTGTCCGGTGTCATAGCTGTGTCCAAATTCAGGAACCGCATCTTCCTGTGCCTGCATTTGTAGGCCGATTATGTTACAGCGACACGACGAAGACTGTCCAAATTCAAAGACTCCGACAAATGCGCCCTTCATTTCCCCAGATTTGAGGGATGGGTCGGGTGTATCCTTCGTGGCCCAACCTATCCCAGAATTCATAGCGCAGCCCTGCTCAGTTTCCAACAATGGCGGCAGCTAGTTAGTTTTAATATTACTCTTATTATTCTTTCTGGGTCACAAAATAAACGTTTAACAGATTTTCAAGCGAGAATGTAGCTGTGTAAACCTCAAATATCTGCTCGGTTTATCAAGACACCACATGTCTGTGAAGGTTCTCAGTCATCCAGGTCATCGTTGTTGCTAGAAGACGTTTCACCTCTCATCCGAGAAGCTTCTTCAGTTCTAAGGTCATATGGCGGAGAGTCCCAGATTTAGACGCCACATATTTTCAAAAGCGCTCCGACGTTTTCGGAGACGTCTGTTACCCACTAGCTCGATAGCTAGCCGGGGTTCAAGGCTCGAGAATATACTCCTGTGTCCTGTTATATTTTAGATAGCAAGGAGCAGAAGGCTGAGTTTATTAAACTTCACCGAAACAATCTGCAAATTTCATTAAAATTTAATAAACTACCATCTTGTCTTTATTTTTAGTTAGCACATACCTTAAACACTTAAAGCTGTAAGCTAATGATAGTTATATACGAGCAGATGCTGCTGGTGCAATAAGCTGTAGTTTTACGTCCAATGGATGATGATCTGATTAGTCGACTAATCGCAAAAATAATCGGCGACTACTCGACTATCAAAATAATAGTTTGTGGCAGACCTAGCTGCAATGCTCCGGTCGAAGTCCAGACCTCAGCGACTGAAATGCTGCGGTGGGGCCTTCAGAGAGCCGTGCATAAATGAATGTCTGCAAACTTCAATGTCATGAAGCAAGTCTACTCAGTTTTTCATATGACTGCTGAAACATCCCAATTCTGTCTTATTTGTTGCATGACAAACTCAACCTATTTGTACTGTTAGAGCCTCTGTGTGTGTCGGCACCTGATGCCAGTATTAAAAACCTTGTGATGCAGATGTGTGAGTTTGACTTGGGCAGCTCAGGAGGAGAGCGTGCCGAAGGAAGGTTTATAAGTTTAAGTCCCCGTGCAGATCACTGGACCTCGAGCCAACACTGAGGTAACATCTCGATGTCGTCTCAACTTTCACACTTCGACATGAACACGAAGATTCACAAGAATTAAAAGATGATAAAAATCAAGCAAAAGTTTGAAGATTGAGGTAAATCTCTCACCTGGCTCCATCTTGATAACTTTGATAGCTGTCAGCTCTCCATTCTGCTTGTTCCGTGCCTGAAAACATAAAAAAGACAGATGATTTTATTTTTTATAATGTAGTGCATCAGTCAGTTATTAGATCTCAGCACTTTGGTGGGTTTCTTTTGCTTTTGTTGTTTTCTTGTGTGCCAGTAGAAGCGTAATTTGCATTTTTGCTGTCCAGATCAGTGGAGTGCAAGATACAGCCCACTGCACAAAGCTGTGGCATTAAACACTCACTCACACACACACTCACACTCACACACACACTCACACAGACACACAGACATACGATGACCTTTAAAAGTGTGATCCCAGAAGGTGTCACTTCTCTTTGCGCACTTATTTATAAAAGAACTATAAAAAAATGCTCTCACGCACACAAACATTTCCTCCGAGTTGAAGCTCATGCGCTACATTCTTACACACGGTAAAAGTCATACCGAGAAATAAAAACGGCACAATTATTTTTGTCCAACCGCTGCGATCGCTAGGCGCATTGTTCCTTTGGCTGGCAGAGACGATTAAAGCTCTCTTACATGAGGGTGATCGCACACATCATGTGACATGAGACAAACAGCACCACCCAGAAAGTCTAGCCTTGTGAGTCTGATGAAGTCTAAAAAGAAACTGAGTGAGGTTTAATCGCTTCACAGCTTGAGTTGTGCGTCACAGTCACACACGCACACACAGACTTCACACGGTCAAGTAAAGTCAAGTGAAATTTACTCACAAGCACATTTAAAACCAACAAACTGGTGAAGAATGTGTAGTTTGGTGACTAAAATAAAATCACCAAAAAGGAACACAACAGATTTGTACGAAAGCAGTAAAAGCAAAGGTCTCAAAGGTCTTCAGTGCTGATGAGGACCTGATAGCAAAGACCAGTGTCAGGACCTCGGTACACACAGTATCAGCAGACCTCAGTGATCGTGTGGGAGTATGAGGTTAAAATAAATGGGCAAAGACGGGCACGCCATTCTAACAATAACTTACTGATAAAAATAAACTCGCAAAAGCAGGTCGAACACTGTTACACGCTAAACGCAAAAACACGGTGAGGAAAGACGAAGGCCAACAAACCGTCTCGAACACGAGGCATCGAGGACGTCAATCATCAACGAATTAATGTTTCACAGCTGTCTCACGTTTTAAAGGTTTTTGTTATTTTTAGAGAATTTAACCAAAAGCAACACTAGGTGTTCATGTTGGTCATCTCCATGGTAACCAAATTTTAGATAGATATCATGTTTATCATCTTCTTCATTTTAACAGAGACTTTAAGACTTATGAAACATTTTTGGCTTAAATAAATCCTTGTATTTAGTACGGACTTACACAACTAGTTAACAGTTAAGCTTTAGCATTAACTGCACTAGAAACATCACCGAGTTATTTATACTGCATTAACTGTTGAGACTAATCACTAGTCAGAGCTGCAAGCCCGATATGTGTGAAGGGAAGTTGTACATAAGCGAGGCACCGAAAACTGCAGTTCCTGTAGGTGCTACTTTGGCTGGATGGTTCTTATATATCATACAGAACATAGAAACAACCTTTAACCCTGTCTGTGACATATTTTCCCGTAAAGGTTTCAAGAAAGGAAAAGGGACCACAAAAATGGTCACCTACAGCAGATCAGTTACAAAGGGGGAGCTTAGCAAGAGGCAAAAATCCACAAACAGATGCTGTAATACACAAGGAAACAAAAAACCCATGAGGGGTAACGCAAAGGAAGTAGGAAATGTGCAGAGACAAGGCGATGTGGGAGGGAAATGAGGGAAACAGGTGAGTGTGTATCACAGGAGCGTGATTAACTGACTGGAACAGGTGTGATAGAAAAACCGCGGGGAACACTAACTGTGACAGAAAAGACATCTGAAACCTGGCGAGGAGTAACCGATGAAGACCGTCACATTTAAGGCCCACTTATAGAACAAAATGACCGGGTTTGCATCAGAGGTTAGCGAGGGTGCTCTCTGTCTGCGCACCTTCGGAAAACCTGGAGACTATCAAACCACGTCTTTATTGATCTATGCTGAGGTGTGGAGACTCATCATTACGGGTACAGAGTGTCAAATGTTGTCTTCTTAATTAGACTTAATTATTCAGCAAACAAAGGAAACAAGCCCACAGCGCACGCTCACCTGGACGAGCGGCGGCGAGCAAAGATGGAGAAAAACACGGTGATCAGGTAGATAACTCAGGAGTAACTTCCTTTTTTCAGTGGTTACAGGCGCAGAGATGATTTTACACATATTGAACATCAAAGTTGAGATGTGACAGCTGCCCACACTCTCACTGCACTCAGAGGAAGAGAAACAGTCATAAGTGTAGTCGGTCAGCGAGGGCATGACAGCCTGCACACGTGTGACACGGAAAACTCCACTGCCTCAGAGAGGGAGGTTCAAAAAGCAACGACACGGTGACACATGGGTTTTTCAACCACTCCTCTGTCCGAGGTACAAAGTGTTCACAAAGTGATGTCAAAATGACGGCAGTTTAACCCCCTCCAACCATCCTCCGTCAGCCCGCGAGCACAGAGCTACACTAGCAGCACACTAACTGCCACGTTATGTCATCCGTGTCCTTCACACTCATCTTGCTACTGAGTCATTATAACAAAACCACTGTTTACAAAGCAGTTTGTGGCATTAGAACAACATCATTAGCATTTTAACAGCAGGCATGTTTAAGATGCTAATCAAATGAGAAGAACGCAAGAAGCCAAAACGGCGGCCACCTCCGCCTTGCTAGGCGCAAAATTCAATTTGTCGGAAAATTAACGCCATCGGCAAAAACAACGATGGAAGTCGACACTTTGCAGTTGGAGGTAAATTTAACGTTGGCGGTAGGCGGTCTGCGCCTCTGAGATTGATACTGAAATGGCACAGTGGAAAGTCTGGGTGTTGTAGTCGCAGTGGGAGGGTGGTCACAAACAACTGACGACTTCATTTGCATTAAGGGGTTTCCTTTTTTTAGCCATGACCGACCTATAAATCCATCCTTTCACAAACTCAAAAAGGTAAAAGAACGATCGCTGTGTCGAGTTTACCTGCTGAGATTAAACTGTGTACAGCAAATTTAACACACCGCATCACAGCGGAGACATTGTTGTCCCACCCCCGCGCCTCCAACGGCCAAACACTGACAACGGTTTAGGAGATCACTGAAGCACAAACTAAAGTTTAAATCTCAAACTGGAGTTAAACTAGAGCACAGGTAGTTATAATAATAATAACAAACTTTATTTATAAAGCACACTTAAAAACCAAGGGTATGCCAAGGTGCTTAACAAGTAAAATAGAGTATAGGAGGAGGATAATAGAAATAGGACCAAAGCAAGTACTAAATATGCAAGCAGATAACTGTCACTAATACATAGGAAAGCAACAGGTACAGAGCAAACAAGAATTTAAATGAGCATAAAAGTGCATGATATAAAATCATAAAAGAAATATTAACTAGAGGGAAAGGCAAGATTGAATAAGTGGGTTTTTAATCGTGATTTGAACAGTGCAATGGAGTCAGATGCGCGGAGGTCGAGAGGAAGGGTATTCCACAGTACCGGGGCAGCCAGAGCAAACGCACGGTCACCCCGGGACTTCAGTCGAGATCTGGGTTGGGTCAGAAGTAGTTGAGTGGCAGATCTGAGTGTTCTAGCAGGAGTATGTGGTTTGAGAAGTTCACTAAGATAACTTGGCGCTAATTTATTAATAGTTTTGAAGGTAAGGAGTAATATTTTAAATTGAATACGGTACTTTATGGGCAGCCAATGCAGGCTAGCTAGGACAGGGGTAATATGGCAAAATTTCCTGGTACCAGTCAAAAGGTAGTTTTCAGGCGCTTGGGAAATCTTTCCTCAGAGTGGCGGTTGGAGAACTGTGAAGCTCCGAGGAGCAGCACCTACATCCTCATGGCATAAAAAATAAATAAAGACTCTTATTTTCACGGGCACAGCTTTGTCTAAGACAGCAAGCTCATGCATTTATTCTAAGAGACTGTGATAATGTGAGATGCTCGTGCAGCTCTGCTAACCTTGGCTCATGCTCCAGTTTTTTCTTTACTGCACTCCCTCTCAGCACCTTCGCTCCACATTTTTCTGCTGCACAGCCACATGTGATGACAGCTGCAGTTTTTTTCTGGTCACTTGACTATCTTGAGAATGTTTCTCTGAACAGTTAATCTCCTCGATCTCTGATAACCAGCCAGCCTCAGCCCTGACTGTTGAGTTTCTGTCGGGTTGGTGCAGTGGCGGTCCTCGATATCATCAAGCTCCACCGCCTTCACTGCAGCTGGCGAGGTTAGGCCTTTTGCTCTCCTGGTGGTTCCATCAGAGGCAGAGGTCCAGCCTGACCCCGGGGAGTCATGTGGACCTGGGCTGAGCTAGCTGCGGCTGCAGAGCAGAACACTACCTTCTTCGCCAGCTGCAATCTAAGGTGGCGTACACACAGGAAGACACCAGCAACCAGAGACCACAGAATGTCAATGAAATTCAGCGATATGCAACAACAACAGGCTTGTGACGCAAACCGGGTGGTCCTGAGTTAAGCTTTGAGGTGGATGACCAACCACCTGTTCTGAAAACAAAGCATGATGAGCTGCTGTCTTACAAGGTGGAGGAGAAAGTGTGCAAGCTGGCTTCTTTCTTCATTGAACATGTGCCACGAAATGAATCTAAACATTTGGGAAACCCTGCATCAGGTTCAAAGCAGGCAGCTGAGCTGATCTTTAGCTGAGTAACGAGTTACCCTGTGGTCTGTTCACATTTGCCTCTGATCAGATACAGCAGACCAGTATGTAGAAGAAAACAAAAACAGTACTGCTGAGAGAAGTTAGCATATTGTGCACTAAGACTGGAGACCTGCCCAAGGTGTTTCCACCTTCCAGACCTATGAGAGCTGGGAAACGCTCCAGCACCCAGAAAACCGAATTAAAATTGAATTAAAAAGACAAAAAGAGCGCAAACACAGTCAAGAGACTCCAGTTAGTGCAGGTGAAGCTACCAGACAATGGGAGGCTAGTAATGTTGGCAGATCTGCATGCTCCTCACTCTAAGCCTTATCAGATTAACTCCAGGACGGTTAACAAAAAACTTCAGTTGCTATAAAGGTGGAAACTAACCACAGACAGGTCCTGGACACATTTATTTCTACTGTAGAGATTTATATTTGAACGTGGGATTGACTGGTTTGGAACAAGCCTCAAGCTGCCATCAGAGAAGTCCAGTTTGAGAGTTACTTTCAAAAAAATAAAATGGATTAGTTTAATTTGAATAGGCTTAAATCTGGCCATCCTCCAGCTGGATAGCTGTTTTTGCCGGACGCTCACTCTGCTGGGCTTCTCTGTGATCATTTCACAATATTGGTCATGTTTTGTTTTGGATGTGGTCTCTAACATGAAACTGTCATAAAAATCCCTCCACTGTGCATCACAGGGCCGATGTCCAAAATGGCAGCACTGAAACTGCATCGCTTGTGTACCTAAA